CTGCACGGTTAGACTCCCGCTGGGGGTGCTGATAAGACCTATGCGAGGTCGAAACTAGTCAACACTGGATGAGAACATCTTTTGGGAAAGCAAGTTAATGTAATATTCAATGTAAACGTCAGTGAGAAAATTCTACTACCAGTCCTTCATCACATTAAACGAAATAGGGTGAATACATCTCATAATAAAGATAGTTAGCCAAAACATTCCACATTTTTCTAAGCCTATAACTTTTCGTTTATTTGTTAATAGCATATATATGACTTTAAGCCGGACAGTCTTCTTGACCTAGTGAAAACCTAAGACTTCTACAAGAATGAGTTCCAGCCCTAATGATGTCCATCAAATAATAGGCGAAATCTCCGGCTGTTTTCACCCGAAAAGATAGGATGGCTCAAGGACCTCGTTAAACTAAAAGTCATATTAAAGCCAACGTTCAGCAGTACACCGGTAATCAGCCGACGCCGACATTATATAAATATATGCAGCTTAGACTTCTATACAAAAAGATGACAAATTAAAAATATTCACAAGATAAGGGTTTAGAAGAGGAAGTTATAAGGGAAGTGGTGGAACGACAAGTCAACAATTAAGACCAAAATAGGTATTTTATCATCTGGGGAGAATAATAATGAGAAAATGCTATTTCGAAATTAGCCCGTCAGAAGATCGTCTTGATGCTCATCGGTTGTCGATAAAAGTTTGGGGGCTATGTCTGGCCAATCTATTGATTGTACATCTGCAGAGAGTGTGAAGCACTGCACTAAATCACCAGTTTGCCAATCGCCCCAAAGGCGATCAGAAAGATCTTCAATTGGGATATAACTTTTAGAAGTTGAAGTAGGGGCATTTAATGATATGCCACAGTCCATACCACGGCGAATCGAATCCACAATCGATTTGTTGTGGCGCATTTGTCTGCAGGTAGCTTGGTCGACAACCACTACTCGGTTTTCAAGGGTAGATATATCTTCACCAGACCCTTTAGTACCCAGGGTAGTAGAATCGGGGCGCCTCAGAACTCGATAGAAGACTTGTTGCGACGAAGGATCCATAGTAAGGTCTACATATATAGGGAAAATAAAACGAGAAAAAGAAGTGAACATTATTAAATGACGTGAAACTTAAATGGATATACACAGCAGTAAGACCTCGTTTTCTTAACCTTAGCGCGTGTTCAAAGGGATACCATAGAACTAAACTGCCAATGATATCAGTGTCCTTACAGAATCATAATAATGATGCGGTAACTTCTAAAACATCTTGTCAGCATCATAGTCCTTTAGAGTTCCAAGGAGGATCAGGACTGTCTCTGAATTATAAAACGCTTTCAATCTAAAACTCCAAATCTGGAGGCCTCGAAACGAAGAGATCAAAGGAAAAATTGGATGAAAAAGTGTAATATTTAGAAGCCACTAAATACAATATAAAAGTCTAAACTCCGCTGGTCACAGCAGAGGGAAGAGAAGGAACCAAACGTGACCAAACTAATCTTTCATCACCTTCAACGAAATAGGACGAATATTACTTTAAACATAGTGAACTCTGTTTAAGGTCGCTGAGCCATGGCTATATATAAAATGCAACAAGACTAAACATTGAATTAAAAAAGTGTAGAGACAGGTCACTATAATCTGCAGGGTTCTTCCATTTTATTGGTGGCGATACCAGCAAAATATTGCAGAATGTACCAGATTAAAAGTTTGCCTGAAGAACACATGAAGAAGCAGATGTGTATTTAATACAATCTTCCAATCTCAATGAAAAATAATTAAGGTGCAAAACGGAATCAATTGAAAGTAATATCATTAAAAGATACCAAAATAAAATCTATCATTTTTGTATTAATATCTAAGACAGATCATGCAAATATGTCAACTTCGTGCGGGGCAAATACCTTTCATTCTAAGTGTAAAAAATTCCATCAACAGTGTTTCCGCATTTTATGCGATCCAGTAACTATACATTTTATAATTAGGTACACCTGACGTCACCTGAACGTTCGTATTATTAGTTACCAGGCGGGTTCAAGCTGGGTCCCTATTACCTTATGTTCGGAAGTTAAAATAGGTTAATAAACGAGACAACTGCCCTGAAAAAGCCCTGGCTATCAGGAGACTTGTCGGCAGAAGTAGCTATGTCAAGATTTCCCATCACAAATTCCCGAGGTTTAATCGGATGCATACAGTCGAAAAGTTATCCCTCAAACTCTCGCTCATAGAGTGTGCAGTATACATAAACGGACATTGCTTCTTTTAACTGATCAGCATTAAGATAAAATGTCTCTTCCACTAGAGGTCATAATATGGACCCATTTAAGTCACCCTCGTCTGTATTTTACTTGTTATTTTGCATTCTTATTTAGGTCAATAATTGAAGAGCAACATAACTATGCAAATACTTCACCCTGAGAACGAGTTCGAATCAAGCAGAAAAAAATAGTAAATTAAATTAAAATGCTTTATATTGACATAGGGTAGACCAAAAGGAAAAATAGTACATGATGATTTTTACTTCCGTAGAATGGCAAAGTAAATAGCATATAGATTAAAATTAAATATCTGAATTAAATAAACAAACTAAATATAAATATAAATCATCAGAGCCTTCTTGAGAACTCCGGTTGTGTAATTTTATTTCTGTTGATGAAAGGTCTAACAAATGAGGTACGCACAATTATCTCAAAGGGCCTCATCATGCAAAAGAGTTTTACCTAGCTTAGGCTTAAGCATTTAAGTTGTAATTTAGGTTCGACCTACTTTAAGATTAATCCATATTCTAGACGGGATTCAAAATCCTCATCAGGTCGAATGTGAATCAGTCAGGATCAAAGGTGACTTTGAGAGGAAGCCATGCCATTTGAAAATTACAATTAGTGGGGATGAAAGGCAGTGATAAATTGAATCAGCTGACGTGGTGAGGCCCTCGACTCAAGCAAGTGAGGAGAACTCACCAATCTTTTCATCATATAGTTTGTTTTAAAGTAGCAATGGTTACACCGAACAAATAAGATCTTAGTTATTACAATTGTGAAAATTTGTCTGAGTTTATATATGAAAAGGATGAGTAAACTATAATGTATTTAAATTAAGGTAAAAATATACTTTCTTAAAGGATCTGAATGATAAAGAATCTAAACCAGACAAAGTCACTCATATACAGTTTAACTATCATCGCAGAAAAACTCGGTGTGATAGACGATCTATTGTGGATACTGATATTAGATATCAAATGGATAGGTGAATAATATAATGAAGTTTTATACAAAGCACAAGATAAATGGGAGAATTGTCTGTAAAAAGCAAGTTACTCACCCAATTTTTTCCAGGAAGTGTTACGGGAGGATAGAAGAGTCCCCTTAATGCACCGACAGCCTGCAATTCTAATTTTGCATTTTCCTTTCCCAAGATTGGAAACTGAAGTTGGATTCGTTGTCTCAGTGACTTCAAATACTTGTAGCACCTCAGCTTCACCTAAAAAAGGATAGACATTGAGGTTGTCAGAACGAATTTTCAATTTAGAGTTTAGTTCCTATTCGAAGCTTTGCTTTAGATGCCACAGGTTACTATATGAATCAGCTGGATTAGGTCAGCTTTAAAAAAAATTGAGTTTCGAAGAAT